GCCTCCCAAGTAGCTGGGACTACAGGTGTGTGTTACCATGCTTAACTAATTTTTGTATTTTTAGTAGAGATGGGGTTTCCCCATGTTGGCCAGGCTCATCTCGAACTCCTGGACTCAAGTGATCCGCCCACCTCGGCCTCCCAAAGTGCTGGGATTACAGGCATGAGCCACTGCACCCAGCCACATTGATTTTTGAATATTGTGTCAGTTTTGCATCCCCAGGATAAGCCTCACTTGGTCATGGTGTCTTATTTTTGTACATTGGATTTGAATTGGTAATATTATGTTGAGGGTTTTCTTATGTTTTGCATCTATGTTCATGAAGGAAGTTGGACTGTACTTTTCCCATACTTTCTTTTTTCTGGTTTTGGTATCAGGGTAATGCTATTTGAGAAGTGTTTCTGTCTTTTATTTTTTGAAGAGATTTTGTAGAATTGGTATTATTTCTTCTTAGATGTTTGACACAATTTGCCAGTGAAACCATCTGGACCTGGCAAGTTTATCATCTTCTTCTTTTTAAAAAAGGCTTAAAAAAATTTTTTTTAAAGAGCAGTTTTAGGTTTACAGTAAACCTGAGAGGAAGGTACAGAGATATCCCGTATACCCTTCACCCCCACACATGCACAGCCTCCCCATTATCAGCAACCCTCATCAGCGTGGAGCATTTGTTACAATTGATCATTATCACCCCAAGTCCACGGTTTACATGAGGGTTCACTCTTAGTGTTGTACATTTTATGGGTTGGCTTAACTGTATAATGACATGTTTTCACCTTTATAGTATAATACAGAGTAATTTCACGGCCCTGAAATCCTCTGTGTTCTGCCTATTCATCCCTCCCTCCCCTCTAACTCCCAGTGACCACTGATCTTTTGACTGTCTCCATAGTCTTGCCTTTTCCAGAATGTCATATATAGTTGGAATCATATAGTGTGTATCTTTCACTTAGTAACATGCGTTTAAGTTTCCTCTATGTCTTTTCATGGCTTGATAGCTCATTTTTACTTAGTGCTGAATAATATTCCATTCTCTGTATATACCATATCTTACTTATCCATTCCCCTACTGAAGGTCATCTTGTTCGCTTTCCAGTTTTGGCAATTATGAATAAAGCTACTTCAAACATCTGTGTGTTTGCAAAGGTATAGACTAGAAGATGAAACATAAATAAACAAACATGCATGTGCAGGCTTTTGTGTGGATGTACGTTTTCAGCTCCTTTCAGTAGATACCAAGGAGCGTGATTCCTATATGGTATGGTAAGACTATGTTTAGTTTTTAAAGAAACCACCAAATTGTCTTCCAAAGTGACTGTACTATTTTGCATTTTGCCGGCAATGAATGAGAGTTCCTGTTGCTCCACATCCTCACCAGCATTTGGTGTTGTCAGTGTTCTGGATTTTGGCCATTCTACTAGGTGTATAGTGGTATCTCATTGTTGCAAATTCTTTTTTTTTTTCTTTTTCTGTTTAAATTTTTCTTTCTGGGGCCAGCAACATTCAGCAACTTCTCTCTTTTTTAAAAAAGGTTTTCAAGTATGAATTCAGTTTTTACTAGATACAAATCTATTCAGACTATCTGTTTCTTTCTGCTTTCTTGCTTTCCTTTGGGTTATTTGAACATTTTTTTCTTTTCTTTTTAAAAATTTTAATAAAAATATCTACAATTGTGAACTCTTTTTTTTTTTTTTGAGAGAAGGTCTTGCTCTGTTGCCCAGGTTGGAGTGCGGTGGCATGATCAGGGCTCACTGCAACCTAAGAACTTCCCGGGCTCAAGCAGTCCTCTGCCTCAGCCTCCCAAAGTGCTGGGATTAGAGGTGTGAGCCACCACACCCGGCCTGAACATTTTGAAGTATTTCTTTTTATTTTATCTATTGTGTTTTGACTCTATCTTTTTGTATACTTTTTAATGTGATTCATTATCTAGGAATTAAAATATACAAACTTAACTCTTCATTGACTACTTAGAATAAATCTTTTACTATTTCACATGGAAGGTAGAAACCTTTAGTCTTCCTGCCTTTATATTTATATAATTATATTATAATTATCTTATACATTATATCCACATACCTTGAAATCCCATCACACAATGCTTTAATGAATGAATGAATATCTATATCTATATCTATCTATCTCTCTCTATATATACATATCCTGACCTCAGGTGATCCACTCACCTCGTCCTCCCAAAGTGTTGGGTTTACAGGCGTGAACCACTGTGCCCGGCCAATTTTTTCTTTTATAGAAGTGAGATCTCATTTTGTTGTCAAGTCTGGTCTTGAACTCCTGGGCTGAAGTAATCATCCTGTCTCAGCCTCCCCACGTGCTTGGATTAAAGGTGTGAGCCACATGCCTGGTCAAATATATGTAAGTTTAATCAAATACTTGCGTTACCAGAAAAAGGGGTCCCGATCACAGGTGTGAGCCACCACGCCTGTAATCCCAGCACTTTGGGAGCACGAGGTGAGTGGATCGCCTGAGGTCAGGAGTTCGAGACAAGCCTGGCCAATGTGGTGAAATTCCGTCTCTACAAAAAATATAAAAACATTAGCTGGGCGTGGTGGCAGGTGCCTGTAATCCCAGCTACTTGGGAGGCTGAGGCAGGAGAATTGCTTGAACCTGGGAGGCAGAGGTTGCAGTGAGCTGAGATCGTGCCATTGTGCTCCAGCCTGGGCAACAAAAGTCAAACTCCTTAAAAAAAAAAAAAAAGAGATAACTTATTGAAAACTAGTTCATTACAGAGAAGGGTGTCCCCAGAAAGGAAGCAGAGGAATGCACTATCTTTGTTTTAAGTTTTTCTTTTCTTTTTGAGACAGGGTCTCGCTTTGTCCCCCAGGCTGGAGTTCAGTGGTGCGATCTTGGCTCACTGCAGCCTTGACCTCCTGGGCTCAAGTGATCCTCCCACCTCAGCCTCCTGAGTAGCTGGGACTATAGGTGCATGCCACCATGCCCAGCTAATTTTT